AGGAGGCATGGGACCCCGAGACTGCAGGGCTGCTCCGGCCCGTGCCCCGCAGACCTCAGCGGTCACGGCTCCCAGGACGGGTAGAGCTGCACGGGCCAACGCCAGCCCAAGCCCACACCTTCCCAATGAGACAAGCCCACACGTGTTCTAGGCCTACCTTCAGTGGTTCATTTTATTACAAAGAACGGTATCAAAATAGACAAATCTGTTTAAGAAGAACCAAAAATGCAGCTTTTTAAAGGGCCAATGAGCATCAACCGTTTTGAAGGCAGCTTCTCCGGGGCCTGGAGTCTCGGGCGAGGCTCAGGGTGTGCGTCCAGGACGTCGGCCTAAATAACTTAAAGGGGGTCTGGCTTCTGGCTGGACGCTCCTCACAGGTCTTCGCGGGAGGGCGGCTGTGTTGGGCTTTCCTCTGTGCCTTCTGTCAGGAAACAAACAGGCTGCCTGGTAAAACCCATCAGAGGCCCTGGGGGTGTGGCCCGAGCCCTGGCTTGGGGGGCGGGGGTGCCCACGTGCAGAGCTGCCTGCGCTCGCCCGTGTCCTGCCTGGGACGCAGGCGGGGTCTGCCACAGCGGATTTAGGCTGGAAACTCCACCAGCGTCCCTGTGGACACTGCTTCTTCACCCCCCTCTGCTTCTAGGACTTTATAGAGCTCCTGGGAGGAACTGCGCCCCAAAAGATGGTGCCGTCCAAACTCCCCCCGGCCCCCCTCCCCAAACACAGCTGCAGCCGAGGACCACAGCCCAGGAGCTGGGAGGCAAGGCCCCCTGCAGGTTTCAGAGGGAGCAGAGCCCAGGTGTGATGTCCAGCCTCCAGGAAGGCCACCCAGGAGCCCTGGGGGTCTGCAGACCTTCTGCTCATCCTCTCCTCCCACGGCCCCTCCCCTCCTCCCCAGGCTCCTCCCACGGCCCCGCCCCTCCTCCTCCCACGGCCCCTCCCCTCCTCCCCAGTCCTTCTTTCTCTGCAGCATCTCCTGACCTTCATGGTTCAGGGCTTCACTTGGCATCTCCCACCTCCTGTCTGTGCAGGGAGCTCTGGCCCCACAGAGAAGCCCCCTCGTCTGCCAGGAACCCCGGCTGCCACCGCCAAGGGCTGCTTCCGTGTGAACTTAACTGGGAGCTCCGGGCGGGGCATGACCCCCAGGGGTGAGGGAGGCGGGCCAGCTGCATGGAGACCTCCCCACACTCACCCGCCTCCGCTGGCTGAGGCGCCTGCACACAAGCGTCTTCCGTCTCCTCGAAGCCGTCGGGGCACACGCACACGTAGCTGCCAGGCGTGTTGTAGCAGTTCTCGTGCTTCCTCAGACATGGCTTCTCTGGCAGCGAGCACTCGTCCACATCTGAAAGCAAGGCCCTGCATAAGCCAGTGCCCAGGGCGGCACGCAGGTGACGGGGTTCATCACACACACACGCACGCACACACACACACACGCACACACACGGATGCCCAAGTCTCAGAAATGTCAGCCAGAGGGAGCAGCGGGGAGAGAAATAACACGCAGCTCAAAGATGGGGGCTCTCGGGGAGAAGCAGAGGAGAGCGCCCAGGAACGTGCAGGCCGGAGCCCAGCCCCTGAGGCCCTGAAGCCCAGCCTCGGGCCAGGCCACCAGGAGCTGACAGCCACGGTG